AAAGCTTCACAATTGCACATAATGTGTTTCTTTTACTGATTCCACTCCATTATTGCAAATTTCAGCCTGGTGTATTGCAACTGTGGCCCTAGTGGTCGCAAGTGAGACACACCAGAACTTGAAGAATTAGTATCTAAAAGGCAAAAATGGTGTCAAAACACCACCGAACCCCTAGTTTATCCTCTTAAACTATTTCAACAAGTTCCGAAACACCAAGGCAATATATATGAATTTTAACCTAGAACTTGATTTGGCATGGAATAACTCAAAAAGAGGGATTTGATTATGCTATCAAATTTGTGTTTTATGATTAAATCTGTCACAACCCGATTATGATGATATATATATATATATATACTAGAAGGGCATGACCTATGCTCAACACGGGCCCAACGTAGGGAGTTTGTTATAAACAACCTATTTATATGCCACAATTTGCAATGACTCAACTTAATTATTCAAGTGATGTGCAACAATTTAGTGAAAGGGGTGATCTAGTAAGGTAGAAACAAAGTCTCTTAATTCAAGCATCTACAACAATGTGTTATTACGTGTCTCATGATCTGCTTTGAATAGGTCATGTTCTATGTTAGTGCAACTGCCCCTCTACTTTTTTAATCAGTTTGAAGTTCAATAAAAGTTTATCATTTTTCAGATTTCAATTCATCTTGCTGTTTTAGTTAATTAATATTGTTATCAGAGTCCTACTTCTTAAGGGACTTGTGTGAGACTTACGAGGTTCTTTTCTGAGTGTTTATCCATGTAATATTATCTTCAAACACCATTAAAACAATGGAGAATGCATGCTCTTTTTCTGCAACTCCACCAGTTTTCGATGGAGAAAACTATCAAACCTGGGCAGTGAAAATGCAAGTTTATTTGGAGGCTAATGATTTGTGGGAGGTTGTCGAGGAAGACTACGAAGTGCATCCTCTGCCAGGGAATCCGACCATGGCTCATATTAGAACCCACAAGGAAAAGAAGACAGGAAAATCCAAAGCTAAATCTTGTCTCTTTGCTGCAGTTTCTGCCACCATTTTCAGTAGAATAATGACATGTAACTCAGCCAAAGCAATTTGGGATTTCCTTAAGAAAGACTATGAGGGAGATGAAAGAATCAAAGGAATGAAAGTACTGAACCTGGTTAGAGAATTCAAGATGCAGCGTATGAACGAATCAGAAACCATTAAGGATTATTCTGATAGGTTGCTTGGGATTGCTAATAAGGTAAGAACGATACTTGGAAATGAATTTACTGATAATACAATAGTTCAAAAAATACTTGAAACTTTACGTGAGAGATATGAGGCAACTATTGCTTCATCGGAAAATACTAAAGATCTGTCTAAGCTTAGCCTCGCAGAGTTATTGAGTGCACTGTAGGCACAAGAACAACGAAGAATGATGAGGCATGAGGGATCCATTGAGGGAGCATTACAAGCCAAGTTGCAGTTCAACTGCCAGGGAAATAAAGGAAAAGGAAAGAAAGGGAATCATGGAAAATACAAAGCAACAACAATGAGAAATGGTGTTACTGCAACAACAGAGAAGGTAAAATCCTCCCTGCCAACATTGTGGGAGGAAAAATCATCCACACTTCAAGTGTAGGAGAAAACCTGATATGAAATGTAGAAAGTGTCACAAGCTCGATCATGCTGAGATTAACTGCAAAGAGAAGGGATTACAAAAACCAAATGATGCACAGATTGCAGACCAACAAGAAGACTAGCAACTATTAGTGGCCACCTGTTTCGCAAGCAAAAATTCAAGTGAAAATTGACTTGTTGATAGTGTTGTACGAACCACAAGACCAGTGATGAAAAGATTTTCAAAGAACTTGATAGATCAGTTAAATCAAGAGTTAGGATCGGAAATGGAGAATACCTAGGGGACTGTAGCAATAGAAAGTTACAAAGTACAAAACTTATTTATGAAGTTTTATTTGTTCCTGAAATCAATCAGAATTACTAAATATTGGGCAACTCCTAGAAAATGGATTCAAATTATATTTGAAGATAAAGCATGCCTGATCAGTGATCCTAGTGGTCAGGGAATATTCAGAATTAAAATGCAGGGAAAAAGTATTTTCTTGAATCCATTGAATGAGGAACACATAGCTTTTCCAAGCCAGCTCACTGTAGCGGAAACGTGGCACAAAAGGTTGGGGCACTTTCATCACAAAGCTTTATTGTTTACGCGAAGGAGAAAAATGGTAAATGGTTTACCAAACTTGGAGGAGAACCTTTCAAGTTGTAAGGTTTGCGTGCTTGGGAAGCATACTAGACTTCCATTTAAAAGTTTCACTTGGAGAGCAACAGAAAAAAGTTGCAAGTCATTCACACTGATCTTTGTGGTCCACAAAGAACTCCATCACTCAATGGCAGTAGGTATTATATTATGTTCATTAATGATCTAACAAGAATGTGTTGAATTTATTTTATGAAGTTTAAGTCGGAAGCTGCTAGAATTTTCTTGAAGTTTAAAGCTTGGATAGAAAATCAGAGTGGCTGCAAGATTCAGGTCATAAGGTCAGATAATGGAACTGAATATACCTCAACTATGTTCAATTCTTTTTGTGAAGAAGCTGGAATTGAGCACCAGGTTACTGTCCCTTATTATCCACAACAAAATGGAGTGAGTGAGAGAAAAATTAGAACAAGCATGGATATGTTAAGATGCTTGTTGCATGAGAAGAATCTACTAAAGAGGCTGAAGCAACAAACACTGTTGTTTTCTTTCTGAATAGACTGCCCAAGCGGGCAGTGGAAGGAAAGACTCCATTTGAAGCATGGTATGGTGTCAAACCTCTTTTGAAAAACCTCAAGATATTTGGATGTCTATGTTTTTCCTATGTTCCAGAGGTTAAGAGAGACAAGCTAGATAAGAGGGAAGATTTGAGAATCTTCATTGGCTATAGCTTATTTTCTAAAGCTTATAGGATCTTTCAACCTCAAACAGACAAGATTATGGTAAGTAGAGACGTTCAATTCCTTGAAGATGAGCAATGGGAATGGAATGAGGAGTCTCGAGTTAAAATTCATAATTCACAACTTGATTATGATGACTTGGTGGATGATCAACCTATTAGGGGAACAAGGTCACTCTCTGATATTTTTGAGAGATGCAATGTTGTTGTTTTTGAACCTGCAGGTATGCGGAAGCAAAAATGGATCAAAATTGGACAAATGCAATGAAGGAGGAGCTGACCATGATAGAAAAGAACCAAACTTTGAAGCTCATGGAAAGACCCCAGATAGAAAAGTGATTGGAGTTAAATGGATTTTTCAAACAAAGTTAAATCCAGATGGTTCGGTAAACAAACACAAAACTAGATTGGTGGTGAAAGGCTATGCACAAGTTTGAGGAGTAGATTTTTCTGATACGTTTGCCCCAATAGCCAGTTTGGAAACAATTCAGATTCTTTTGGCTATTGCGGCATAGAAAAATTGGAAGATTTTTCAAATGGACGTGAACTCTGCTTTCTTGAATGGTCTACTACATGAAGAAATATATGTTGAGCAGCCAGAAGAATTCAGCGTACCAAGACATGAAGATATGGTTTATTTGTTAAAGAAAGCTCTATACGGTCTAAAGCAAGCTCGTAGAGCTTGGTACAACCGAATGGATAATCATTTGCTAGGCTTAGGCTTTGAAAAAAGCTTAAGTGAATCGACTCTTTATGTCAAGAAAGTTGCCTCTAATACTATTATTATTTCTCAGTATGTCGACGATTTACTTGTGACAGGAAATAATATATGGTTGATTGAAGAATTCAAGGAGGAAATGATTAAAGTCTTTGAGATGACTGATCTTGGCGAGATGACTTATTTTCTGGGAATGGAGATCAAGCAAACTCAAAATGAAGTTTTTGTTTGTCAAAAGAATTATATGAAGGAAATTCTAAAAGAATTTAGAATGGAAGAATGCAAGAGTGTCAGTACTCCAATGAATAAAAAAGAAAAGCTAAAAAAAGATGATGGAGTTGAATTAGTTGATAAAGGAGTGTATCGAAGCTTAATTAGATGTTTGATGTATCTCACAACAACAAGGCCTGACATCTTGTTTCTTGTGAGTGTTTTATCCAGGTTTTTAAATTGTGCAAGTGAGTTGCACATGATGGCCGCCAAAAGAGTAGTTAGGTATCTTAAGGGAACTCTAACCCATGTCATCATATTTAGCAAAAGTCAAAATTTCAAACTCCGTGGATATTCTGATAGTGATTGAGGCGGATCAACTGGTGATATAAAAAGCACGTCTGGTTATTGTTTCACTTTTGGATCAGGATGTTTCTCATGGTGCTCAAAGAAACAGGAAATAGTAGCACAATGAACAGCTGATGGATCAGGATGTTTCTCATGGTGCTCAAAGAAACAGGAAATAGTAGCACAATGAACAGCTGATGGATCAGGATGTTTCTCATGGTGCTCAAAGAAACAGGAAATAGTAGCACAATGAACAGCTGAAGCAGATTCATCGCAGCAGCAGCCACTAATAATCAAGCACTATGGCTCAGGAAAATTTTGATCGATTTGCAGCTGAAGCAAGTAGAGAGCACTCAGATCCTTGCGGATAATCAAGCTGCTATAGCCATATCTAAAGATCCCATATTTCATAGAAGGACCAAGCACTTCAACATCAAGTTTTATTTCTTGAAGGAAGTGCAGAAAAATGATAAAGTAGTTTTACCCTATTGCAAATCAGAGAATCAAGTGGCAGACATTTTTACAAAGTCATTTCATGTTAACAGATTTGAATTTCTTAGAGAAAATTTGAGAGTTTGCAGCTCCTGATTCAGGAGGAGTATTGTTACGTGTCTCGTGATCTTCTTTTCATGGGTCAGAGATTTCAGCTGATTATTAGAAAATTAATTCTTTTAGTCATTATCTTATTAACTAGTTATATTTGTTCTTATTTTATAGGCATGTTAGCAGTCTTTTAGAAGTCCATGATTCCATGTTTTCTGTTAGTAGAGCTGCCCCTTTACTTATTTAATCAGCTTGTAGTTTAAAAAAAGTTTATCATTTTTCAGATTTCAATTCATCTTGCGGTTTCAGTTGATTAATAACACAATGTGCACCCAAAAAAAATTCAAAACAAAGAAGAAGAAAAGAAGGTGTCACAGTTTTGGACTATGCAATGTGCCATGGAAACAAAAATTCTTCAACTGCTTGCATATGTCTGTTTTTCGGTGTCTGCACATTACTATTTGTTGTTCCTGCAAATTATTGAAAAGGAACACACCAGTAAAGTCTGGTTAGTTTCTTTTAAGTATATGAACTTAACTAATTGCACACAGATTGCATATTTATTCAGAAGACTTCAATAGAGGAAAGTTAACTTAGAAGACTTGGACAGAAGAAAGTTTAGTTGTTCTCTTAAAACTCAACTTTCATCTCTACCTTCTTGACTTGTTATACATGTTTTTAACTAACCTAAGAATACCTTAGAGTACACATTTGCTCAAGTCCAAATATTTTAGCCAATTCAAAGTAAAATTGGCTGCTCTCTTAGCAACAACCAAAAAGTAGTGTGTTGTTTCCATCATACTGTGTTCCTCTTTGGCTACCTTAATAGAAAGAAATTTTAAGATGTCATGAATAAATTTTTCCTTTTCTTTTATCCCGCAAAAGATTATTTACATTAGTATGTATTTTGTTTAACTAAGTAAAAGGCTCAACAATTGTTGTTATCAAAATTATTGCACTTAGACATTGTACCTTCAAAAATTAATCAATAATGAACATTACTTTGAGTAAATTGAAGATGAAACAGATGGATGGAGTAGATGACTTCGTAGACCCATCTAGCCATTAGATTTACCTCTAACATTAATTATTTGAGTGTTTTTTGTTAAGATAAAAGCATGTTTTAGTTGCATTTCTCTCCTTTCATCTAATTTGCTACTATTGACTTGAGACTTCAAATTCAAAAATTAAAAGTTAAAGAACAACTTCTTTATCATCTAATTTGCTACTATTGACTTGAGACTTCAAATTCAAAAATTAAAAGTTTAAGAACAACTTCTTTAAGCAAAACCTACCACATATGCACAATCACATAAATGTGAACTTCATCATCAGATAATATTTGTTTCTCAAACAATCCTTTATAATACCTCATTAAGGGAATGAGAATCAAGAGGGAAGACTCACATGCTATGACAATTTTAAAATACAGTTATTGAATGATTTTTGTTTGAGCTCACAACAAATTTACCCGTTAGGTAATTGATATAACTGAAAATTATCTAATTTTTTTCAACCATCAACGATCTCCCTACTGTATGATCACTCTCTCGTTTTTTTAGAACTGTCAGTATCAATAATATGACAAAAATAAGGGACAATGCACAAGTACCCTCTCAACCTATGTCCGAAATCTCAGAGACACAGTTATACTATACTAAGGTCCTATTACCCCTGAATTTATTTTATTAATTTTTCTCTACCCCTTTTCGGTCTACGTGGCACTATCTTGTGGGCCCAACGCTAGTTGACTTTTTTTCAAGCTAGTGCCACGTAGGTCGAAAAGGGGAAGAAAAATTCTTAAAATAAGTTCAGGGTAATAGGACCTTTGTATAATATAAGTGTGTCTCTGAATTTTGGGCATAGGTTGAGGGCGTACTTGTACATTTTCCCCAAAAATAATGATGTAAACTTATGTCTTCCCACTACAGTATAAGAATTCTTTAATCCAATATTGTCCAATTCAAATACTACAACAATAATAGAAGAAAGCTTAGTCACTAGTAAAACTCAAATCTACAGGTGAAGTGTTTTCTAAGTATTGGGATGCAAAAAATACTTCAATGGATCGTTTTACTAAAAAGGTGATTTAAACTTGAAACTTGGGAAGGGTGAAGAAGCAACAAAAAAAGATCAAAGAAGTATAACTAAAAAAACATAAGATGTATATATAATTACCAGGACCGGGTTGATGGGGAGCTAGGGCAGCCATGAGCCCATGACTTCCGCTTTGTCAAACTCTTTATGTTGATGATAATGTTCTTTAAAATCCTTATTTCTACTATCTTGTATTGTGTGGGCTAAGTGGCTTGTGTAGGGCCTCTACACAAGCCACTTAGCAGATGGTAAAAATAAAGATTCTAAAGAACATTTTCATCAACATAAAGAGTTTGAAAAAGCGGAAGTCTTAACACAAGACACAATAGCTAGGAATTGATGAAACAGATGAGACACTTGTAAAAAATAATCGATATGCTTAATTGATACTATACTTCATCAACAGAATGTATGGGAGCAAGAAAGGGTGATGGAATCTTAAAAAAAGGAGTAATATTTTCAGTAAGCTTACTTCTTCCCATTATACTAAGCTTAAATGTGACTAGGTGATGGTGACATGTTAATAAACATCAAGTTGAACTAAGGACATATGTTAACTAATGCTTTAAACCAAATTTATTTTACAATATTGTGATGGCTGATTTTGTTAGTTGTTTTATTGATTTATTTATTTTAAACTAAGTGCTTCACAATCAATTTCAAATTCATTAAGGTGCAAGTCTGTCAAAAGTCTCTTAAAAGGCATCATGAAATTTTCTTTGGTGGGTGGTGTTTCCTCTGTCAAAAGTCTTTTAAAAGGCATCACTTGCTTTTTTGAATCTACATGTTTTCTCTCCTTCAACAATAATTTCACATTTCACTTTCGGTATTTGTGCTTCCCTTCAAACTTAGTTACAAGAAGTATTAAAACTTAACCCGTATTACCAAGTGTTTTGAGTGATTTCTTTGAGATTAGTATCCACATTTAATGCAGTATGTTGGCCGTGATGATTATGAATACTGCCAACTTTCTTTCAGTTTCTATTTTATTTGATCATTTCGAGTAAATTAATGACTTGGGTCTGCCTGGTGTTTCAATTCCCTTTCAGTTATAAAACCTTAGAAAGAGGAAGCAAATTCCGGCAATTTTGCGGGGAATTCCATAGTACCAACAATTTATTTGAGCCTTTCTTTTATTTATTTTCAGAAATCATAAGAGTACAATTAAAACAGCAGACACATTATCCTATTTTCAAACATATTCATGCACAAAGCAATAACATCTCATTGGATCAACAATTCTCAGAATAGTCACATAAGTGTTAATAGCTTGTTGCAAAATACCTGGGTTATCAAGGGACACAACAATGTAGGATCTATTCGCATTCGATGATATCTTGATTTTCTGGAGATCTTCTCAGTTTTCCACTTCCTTATATAAAGTAGAATTTGAGGATCAACTGAAACGGAGAACAGTAACGTTAAAGAAGTTGGTGGTCGAAAGCTAAGTTATTGATGTTTCAACATTCCCTAATAACATGCAAGAACACAGGAATTATATTACTCTCTAGAATACAAAATCAAGAGTATTTTATTGTGTAAATGTGCCAAAGGAGATAACTATTAAAATCTATGTCAAGTTATTCCAATTAGCTGATTCATCAAGGTTCTATAATGTCTCTAGATTTTGTGTTGTACTATGGTAGAGCACCGTTCCACCCTACAATAACATTTCCGAATTTTTCAACTTATATAATAACATATAGTATTATATAAATAATATAAAATAATATTAGTATTTACTGTGTACTAATCCTAGTCCTATTAGGATTAGTAGTCCTTAATCCTAGTCCTATTAGGATTAGTACTCCTTCCTATATCTCCTATATATATCTCACATGTATTCCCTTATTAGGTTAACACTTTAATACAATCAATATTCCTTCATGGTATCAAGAGCCAGAAAACCTAGATCTTCTTTTCTCTAGTTTTTTTTTCTCTCTTTAGGGCACCGATCGTTCCCTCTCTTCTCTTGGCGGCGGCAGCCATGACAACCGAGGTGGATCCTCTCGATTCACTTCCTTCTGGCGTTAAACTCATTCTCAGGCATCTTCATGCCCTGATTCCCGAAAAATTATTAGACATAAATTACCCTACATGGAAAATCACCGTTCTTACAGCCCTTGAGGCCAATTACCTTCTCAAATACGTGGATGGAAGCACAGAACCGTCGCCGGCAGTCATCACCGCCACGGACAAATCAGAAAAAACCAATCCGGCCCATGCCGCCTGGAGAGCCGTGGATGGCCAGATCCGATCATGTTTGATTGCGGTCATCTCTCCCACGGTTCAGAAACACATCCGATCCTACACAACTGCTTCAGCCACGCAACATGCTATGCATCAATTTCCCACTCTCATATTTTTCAATTGTGTGATCGTCTCCACACAATTACCAAAGGCACAAAAACTATGGCGGAGTATTTAGACGAGGTCTCCACCATCATCACAGCCCTCGACACCATGAACGAAATCATTCCCGAAAAAGATCTCATCATGTGCGTCGTTCGGGGGCTCCCATCAGCTTACTCCTCCATTAAACAGGCGGTTCGCATCAGTCCAACGCCCGTTGACCTGGCTACTCTCTCCTCGTGGCTAAAAAGTGAAGAAATCAACGTGGATCTGGAGAGCAAACTTCTTCTCCGAGAAGCCGATGTTATGGAGCCGGCCACCGCCCTCACCGCAAGCCAGAACTATCGCGGGGGGTGTGGTGGCGGCCGGCAGGGGAGCCGCGGCTGCTATGGCAGAAACAGTGGAGGCCGCGGGCGCGGCGGTCAGCAGGGCAGTCGTTCGCTGTACGACGGTCAGCAGCACGGCAGCAACAACAGCCTGCACTCCTTCGGCAGCGGCGGACAGTCATCTTCCAGCGGCGGGCAGGGCACTTACGAGCGGGATCGTCCAACTTGTCAAATCTGTCAGAAAACAGGACACACCGTTGTTCGTTGCTGGTTTTGGTATGAGGAGAGCCGAAATAGTGATAATCGTGCCAATTATGCATCTCAAGCCGGCCCTTCCTTTGAATGGCTGTTGGATTACCCACGTCCCTTCTATTAAAACCAATCTCCTGTCAGTTCACCAATTCACAAAAGACAATAATTGCTCACTCTTGTTCACCTCTAATGATTTTCTGATCCTAGACAATACTACCAAGAGGGTGATTTTTCAGGGCCCCTGTGAGCATGGTCTGTACGTTCTTCCTGGCACAAGTTCGTCTGCCCACCCAGTTTCAGAAAGCGTTCCTGTGGCTCCGGTGGCTCTTTCGGCTGATGGCCACAGTCTGTTGTGGCACAGTCGTCTGGGTCACCCGTCTACTCAAATAATAAATTCTTTAATGTCTCAATTAGGTTTTTCCTCCATTCATGTAAACAATTGTGACTCCAGTTCAATTGCTAAATCTCATAAATTACCTTTTACTTTATCTGAGAAGCGTACAACTGCACCTTTTCAACTTATTCATTCTGACCTATGGGGTCCTACTGTTGTTCCTTTATTTGCTGGTTTTCGCTATTATATTTGTTTTGTGGATGATTTTACAAAATACACTTGGTTGTACCCACTAAAACACAAATCACAGGCATACACCACCTTTGTCACCTTTGAGAAAATGGTCAAAACACAATTCAATTCTCATGTTAAACTTTTTCGAAGTGACAATGGAAAGGAATATGTAAATAACATCTTTGGCCAGTTTCTGCAATCCCTGGGAATTATACATCAAACCTCCTGTCCATACACTCCCGAACAGAATGGGTTGGCTGAGCGTAAGCGTCGTCATCTCATTGTAACGGTGGTTACTCTTCTACATCAATCTCATCTCCCTATCTCCTTTTGGGTAGAAGCTTTAGCCACCACAAACTACCTCATTAACAGAATGCCCAGTCACACCCTCTCAAACAAATCACCCTATCAACTCTTTTACCAAGAACTTCCCAATTATACCAACCTCCGCGTCTTTGGGTGTCTTGCCTACCCTTGGCTACGCCCTCATATTACTCACAAATTACAACCCCGATCCCGTCCTTGTATTTTTTTGGGCTATCATCCTACCTCCAAGGGTTATCGCTGTCTTGACCCACAAACTCATAAAGTCTACATATCTCGTCATGTCAAATTTGTCGAAAATAAGTTTCCCTACGAGTCTATTTCCTCCTCCACAAATACATCATTCATTGGCGTCCTTCCCCTTTTTCCAACATACTCACAGGGTCCCTCACCACCTTCCCCCACACCTCCACCCACTACCCAACCACCCCTCATCACCCCTTCGACCGTCACCCACAATACACTCGCAACTACCACCCACACTCACAACCAACCCGAACCACCCCATACCCACAACATCTCCAGCCCGATCCATTTTGGGTCCTTCCCGGCCACCCCCGAATCACCACCGCCTATGCCACCCCCAATACTCATCCCATGTTAACCCGTGGCAAAGCCGGTATCTTTAAACCCAAAACCTTTCAGGCTACCATACTACCAAATACACCCCTTTCCGATAGTGAACCAACAACCTACTCTGTTGCCTCAAAAAATGCTTATTGGCGCCATGCTATGGATGACGAGTTTAAAGCTTTGACTGATCAGAAAACTTGGGTTCTTGTACCTAAGCCCCATGGGCGGCACCCAGTGGGCTGTAAATGGGTGTACAAAGTTAAACACAATGCAGATGGCAGTATTTCCAGGTACAAGGCTCGTTTGGTTGCTAAAGGCTACAATCAGGAGTATGGGCTTGATTACTTCGAGACATTCAGTCCTGTTATTTGGCAGGAAACCATTCGCCTGGTACTGTCGCTCATTGTGCGCAACAATTGGCACATAAATCAGTTGGATGTTTCCAATGCTTTTCTTCATGGCATGCTTGATGAAACTATCTACATGACGCAACCACCGGGCTATGTTGATCCCCGCTTCCCTCAACATGTTTGCAAACTCCAGAAGTCTCTGTATGGGCTCAAGCAATCCCCCCGTGCTTGGTACACACGTCTGAAAACGTTCCTCCTGGGACTCGGCTTCATGTGTTGCGTACACGACACGAGTCTGTTTACTCGACATTCAGCACATGGTACAGTCATTCTTCTTGTCTATGTAGATGATATCATTATTACAGGCTCTACTGCAGCTCTCATTCAGGATGTCACTCGAGCTATGCATACTACCTTCAAAATGAAGGACCTTGGCCCGTTACATTATTTTTTGGGAATGGAGGTTTCTCGGACAAGCAACGGCTTGTTTCTTCATCAGTCAAAATATGCTCGAGATCTGTTGCAGAAAGCTTGACTGGAAAAATGCACCAGTCAACCAACACCGATGGTAGTCTCTTCGTCTACGAATGGAGCCGACACCCCCTTTACCGATATCACCCACTTCCGCAGCCTCATTGGGGCTCTACAGTATCTGGTCATTACCCGTCCTGACATCCAGTTTGCTGTTAACCGAGTTGCTCAGCGCATGCATCAACCAAGTGAACATGATTACCATTGTCTAAAACGCATTCTCAGGTATATTTTTGGCACTCTTGGTCGTGGTTTACTCATTCGACCCGGGGACTTGAAGCTTCGGGATTTCTCAGATTCAGATTGGGCGAATGATAAAAATGACAGAAAATCTACATCGGGGTTTCTCGGTTTTTTGGGGCCGAACCTGATCTCCTGATGTACAAAAAACAACCCAAGGTCTCTCGGTCCTCGACTGAAGCTGAATACCGCGCCCTTGCTCTTCTTGCTGCTGAGACCATGTGGGTCACATTATTCTTTGTGAACTCTGCGCCACTCACACTATTCCTGCTCTCTATTGTGACAACAAATCAACCATCTGTGTGGCCAAGAATTCCGTCCTACACACAAGAATGAAGCATGTTGATACCGATTGTCTCTTTGTTCGCGATGAAGTTCAGGCCGGCACCATGACTGTGCAGTATGAACCCACTGAAGAACAACCGGCTGATATTCTCACCAAACCTCTCCCGAGCCGACAGCACGATTACCTCAGTTCCAAGCTTCCGTTCGCTTCCGCTCAGCTCAGCTTGAGGGGGGATAATAACAGATAGTATTAAATAAATAATATAAAATAATATTAGTATTTACTGTGTACTAATCCTAGTCCTATTAGGATTAGTAGTCCTTAATCCTAGTCCTATTAGGATTAGTACTCCTTCCTATATCTCCTATATATATCTCCCATGTAGTCCCTTATTAGGTTAACACTTTAATACAATCAATATTCCTTCATTATATATACCAACAGTATAAAATTTGCAAAAAGGCTCGACATATCAAAGAGGCGAGGCTTACTTGGTTAATGTTCATGAAACCTTTGTTAATTTTTACCTAAAATGAAAAAAAATGCTATTCTTTTCCCAAGAAGTTAAAAGTTCATTCCCACCTAGCAATGGAATTGCCCATAATACCGTAAAGCAACTTCCATTCCTGGCCTGTTTATTCCCATTGAAATTGAAAGTTTGCATTTGGAGAATTGGATAGTTTTGGTCCATTTATAAAATGAGATATTGAATGAAAAACTTAATTTTGAACCTTGGGTTAAAAGTTAAAACCACAAACTCCTTTTCTAAAATACAAATTAAACATTTACATGCCTCAAAGTACTTCATAGATACAAAGTGACATAAAATGGATCAAAGAAGAGAGAAAAGAGCATAACAAAATGTCAAAGGAAGTAAAATAATATTGTTCAGTTCTTTGAGACATATTATCAAACAACACATGTGTGTCAGTGTGAAAATCACACACTTAATAACATGAAAATAGAATATCCAACAGAAAACTATAGTTTAAAAAACTATCGTATTGTGCACTAATGTGCCGTGAAAAAATCACAACTTTGAAAATCAAGTAAAGCAGAAATACATAATCACATGAGTTTTTCCTTTAACATGATGCAATTAGGCAATGAAAATGCTTTTAGAATTAAAACTAATGATCAAAATAGCATATTAGACAAAAATCAGATTCAAAAAAATCATAATTGAAAGCAGGAAAAAGCAATACCAGAATATTTAGGAAAGGGAAGAGATGATGAACAGAGGTGGCCCCAATACGCGTGTCTCCGATTAGTAGCAAATGGAACACGTGTTTTTTTTACTAAGAATAGTTTTGAAATTATTAAAAGTAGTACTTGTTCAATGAAATGAGCCCCAATACAGTACAACTCGCATTACCGTTGGTACATCTATTTGATGTTGTGTCTGTCCAAATGTTGGTGACTAATATAATAGGGTACCACGTTTTTGAGCTTGTTGTACAAAGTTGTATTGTTGTGTTAGTCCTATCAACTTCCACTTCTATTTTGGAGGATATATATATATATACAGATATATATACTATAAAAAGAGTACAAGTCGCAAAAGTGGACAAAAAATATACAGACTTATCTCAAATTACAAAAGACTAGCAAAATAGAATAGAAGGACACATGTATGATTCAAGGTGCCATAAGCTCACCCCCGCCTCCAAATACTACAACTACTATCTCGAACTCAAATCTAATAGCTGGTGCTTGGACCTACATCACGAAACAGGTTTAGAGTGTAGCATAAGTTAAGTATCACTAGGTATTCAATAGCAAGAAAAGTATAAACAATATGAAAAGTGCGAATAAAACGCAACAAAGGTCAAATAAGTGAAAATCTATTGGGAATGCACACGAGTGCAGAAACGGACTGGAATGAAGCAAGTATCTAACTAACTCAAACCCAACTCGTCACCCCGAACCTATACCCTGGGAGCAATAGGCACTCAAGTACTATGTTTGACCCCAAGCGGATCATTGGCTTGGTCTAAATCTCAGCAGAAGACTTACTCATAATAAAATAAACTCAAAAGCACAATTTTACTCAATGTCTCAAGAAAATACTTAGTATATTTTGCAAATAAAAGATCCAACTAGGCAAAAAGGTACAAGTCTCAACATAAGCAACTGAAAATGAAAAGACTCATGATCTACTGTCTAACTATCTATTAAGACATTAATACTATGAAGGATTTCAGGACAAGACCCCGATCATCCTAACAAACTGAAATAATTGAAGATAAATAAGGGATCCTCCGGAAGCAAGGAGGCTCACAAAACAACTCTGGAACTCAACTGGATCAACGAAGCATTGGTTGATGATCCTAGTTATATGTATCTGCATCATAAAAGTTGCAATCCATATGGTGTTAGTACATGGAATGTAAGAACATGCAAATGGAAATCTAAACAAGACATAAGCTTGATTGAAACTATAGGAAGAACTTACCTCGTCTCAACTCAACTAAGGGATACTCAACTTACTCAAATCATTTCAATGTAAAGCAGTACTAAAGATGCATTATACGAAAAAACTTTTAAAATAGTAGACAATAACTCAATGTGTTAGAAAATACAATATAGGGAAAAAGAACAAATATACCCTCAAAATATTGTAAATAGTATGTAAATACTCTTCGTGATACTTTTAGGACATTGACGCCCTTACCGTCTAATTTTTGGAGTGTATATACCCTTTGAACTAACAGAAAGACACATGTCACGATCTTAATAGCCTATCCAAAATTTATTTACTTTTTACCCATAATTAAAAAATTGACCCGAATAATTAAAAACCCACCAAATAATTTTAAGACCCACTCGCAAATAAATTTAATTTTCCCTTTCTTCTCAAGTTCCGGCAACCAAAGATTGCACCGCAACTCCATCTTCTCAGGGGAAATTCCACAAACAAAGCCACCTCTAACTATTACAAACCCAACATCCGGCGAAATTAGGGAGGTTGCAACCCTTCGGCCACCACGCACCCATTTCTCTCTCACCGATGTTCCAACAGTCCGACGAAAAGCCGAGCATACCTCTAGCTCTCTTTACAAAGCTTCAACAACGGCGACCAAGAGGACACTATATAAACAAGAAAAAATCAATCCCATTTCCATCAACTGAGAAACCCCCAAAGTTCTACTCATATATTCAAAAAATTTGTCTGTGTCATTATTTGTCTATTTTTGTCTAAAAAAGATTAGTAAAATCTTACTTTGTTGATGAGAATTACATTAAATTAGGTAGCAATTAATATGAGATTTAAATTTTTTTATAAAAACAAATTATAGCATTCTCTGTTAAGAAGGAAAAGCTTGAGAAGATAGTCTATTGGGGGAGAAGATAGTCTATTGGGAGTTTTGGGGTAATAATTTGGTGCGCGTCATAAATTATTTGGGCGGGTTTTTATTTAATCAGGTCAAATTTTTTAGTATGGATAAAAATTAAATAAATTTTGGATACACCGTTTACACCATGTCTGGATAAAAATTAAATAAATTTTGGATACACCGTTTAGATCATGACATGGGTCCTTCCGTTAGTCCAAGGGTATATACACTCCAAAAGTTAAACGGTAAGGGCATTAGTGTCCTAATAGTATAATGAGAGGTATTTACATACCATTTACAATAATGCAGGGGTAAATTTGTCCTTGTTACCTACAATATAACTATATTTGTCTGTGAAAATAACTATGTTTGTAAATAAGAATACAAAATAATTCTGTTTGTATTTAAGATTACAAAATACTATGTGTGGAAGCTTCTCTAACTGACAATCATTACTATGAGTTATGTGATGATATAGCGTCTCGCCAACACTGTCAGAACTGTCTTGTACTTTGTCGAGGTATGGGACCTACTAACTAAGTAGATACACTAGTCTATGTTTAAAGCAATAAGGAATCATCTAAAAAGTATTACCCTTTATACCCATGTGGGATACATGGTTTATAAGGACTTTGAGTTATCTGAACTCGTCCCCGTATCGGTGCTCAATAATACTTCCAAAATATAACTTAGTTCATATGTTTAAAAACATAAATCTTTCTCTGGTTTGAGATTATTACTCAAAATGTTTCTCTTAAAGAGATAGTACTCAAAATGCTCAAGAACTCTTTTGGAAATAGGTGTTTCCTTTCACCTTAAATGTGAAACATTTACTCTTCAGAATACTGAGTTCTCATATATAGCATTAAATAAAATTAATCGACTCTAATCATCCTCAAACTAAAGTGCTCAAGTCATGATAAAACAAATTTAAAATGATTGTAAAAGACTTCTAAAACTAACTCTCAAAACTTGACTCGTAACTCTACCATTGTAACATCGGGTTTGAGCAAGAGAACTGTTTCCATTTTTCAAGACTTTGTGGTGCCATCCATGAAGGACAACTACGACTTATGGGTTGAACCACAAATCATAGGTGGGTCCGTGTGTTGGCCACCCAAAAGTTGGCAAAGGCAGAAACTAGGGCCTGTCATCGGTCAGACCATAGTCTGTGGCCCAGAATTCCGTAGGTCGTGAATAATTTTTGAAGTTAGAAATGCTCGTGCAGGATGGACCATAGGCCAGTCCACGAGTCGCCGTTCAGCCTCCGTGGGTCAGGGTCTGGTAGTTAAGTTTTTTCCTAATTTAATTAATTCATCTACTATGTTGTTGTGCCTAAGTCTTAGACTCTTATATAAGTATTTTCAACCCCCAAATTAACTCATTCAATTTATTCTTTCAAAAGCACAGAAGAAGAACTCTCCAAAGAAAAGGAAGGGGGAGAGGAGGAGGAGGAAAAGGAGAAGAAGGTTGATTCGACCTATTGTTTCAAAGAAAGTTTCAATTCCTCCATTGAAGATAAGCATTTGGAATTGAGGTATGATAGTTTCCATCCATGGAGTTCCCAAATTCTTCTATTTTTCAAAGGTACAAATCCCCAATTTAGTTAGGGGTTTCTTCAATTGTGATGAGTTCTTTGATTATTGATCCCTATGAACCCATGTAAACCCCATGTTTTCCAATTCTGATCATACGATTTGGGTTGTTTATTAAAGAGGGGTTTTATTAAATAAAGCATAAAGTGATAAAATCACATAAATTTATGATAGAATTCCTCTATAAACCTTGTTTTCTTGATGTGGTGATTGAAATTAAGCTTTGACCTTGAAAGGGCAAAGTATGAGTTTATGCATATTCTTATGAAGCCTCTGTAAATGTAAGGATGCTTTGAAACTAAAGTATCAATGATGATGATGTTGTTGTGTTGTTGAAAGGATATTCTCATAAACACATAAAAACATAATTGTGAAAGGTTTTCTCATGTAATAAGAATTCTAAGGTTGAAAGATTTTCTCTCCTAACTGAATCAAAGACAAGGAGTTTTCCTAATGAAATTTAGCTTGGATTTACAAGATGATATGCTCGTCTATGGATAATGAGAACAAGTAAGAAATGACTATTCTATGGGAATTATGCTTAGCACCGAGAGGATATTGAGATTGGGTTTCTAGAAGCAATCTCTTTATCCCTTACCTATGTGGCCCCATAGGATGATTGTCTAGATAGACATTAGCTAGTGGATCCACTTAAGCTAGAATTTCATGACCCTTACCTCGACAAGTAGGGCAACCCTTTTTGGTGTGGGAGTCACCGGGGATCATGTCATAGCTAACATGGTCACTATGTCGGTGAAGGCTTAATCCTTCATTAATAATGAACTAATGTTACTCAAAGAGTATATCATATGTGTTCAAAGGTTTCAAAGATGATTATCTTGCATTGACCATGTTTTATGAAGTATGTTTTTCTAACCTTCTTTTATCATGTTTTAGCTTGGTCAATTGCATGATCATGAAATGACCCATTTTAGCATTATTTAAACGTTTTATGCATGACTATCATACTTGGTACATTGTTTTGTACTAATGCATACTCTTGCCTATATTTCTCCAAATGTAAGGTCTGATATTCAGGGTTCTCAATTTCATGGCTATAGGTTAGCTTGGTTGATTTCTCGAGTTTGGTGAGTCCTCATGCATCCGAGGACAAAGTTATATTGTTTTCATTTTGTATCTTACATTTGAGTTTTTGGACATGATGTATATGGGCTTGTCCCAATTTCATC